GTTCATCTGCCTCCACCTCCCCAGTGCTGGGAGTATAGGCATGCACCACCGTGTCTGGTCAATTTTTGTGGTGCTGGGGATAAAACCCCAGGGCCCAGGGCTTTGTGTGTGCTAGGTAAGCACTCTTATCAGCTGAATCACACCCCTATCCAGCTGTCCTCTCCGAACTTCCATGTGAATGTCCAGTGACATAACAAATAGCCTACATCTGGTTCTCAACATCAACAGTTTCTTGGCATTGTCTATCTTAACAAGTGTGATGTCGTTGTTTGAGACTGGGATTCCCTCTCACTTCCTCTTAGCCCCTCCCCAACACAAAAATGGACACTGGTAAGCAAACCCTCAAATGGAACTGGCAGAACATCAATAGAAGTCTTTAAGCATGTTAATATTTTTTTTTATAGAGACAAAAGTTATTATTAGGTTTATAATATAAAAGCAGCCCATTACGCCATCCTATATTCTCATTCCCCTAAGCGGTCACTCTTAACTATTCAGTTCTCCTATTTGTTTGTTTTATATATATAAATCTTTATGCATATATGTATATACTCCTTATATCAACATAGTAAGTCAGATTCTAGATAACAACAATGGGGTCACACATGAGGAACCTACTGGTTACTTGGTTCTTGAGGCTGGAGCCTTGACAGTCTAGCTAGAATAGCTGGACAATGCTAGAATAGCTGTTTCTCACTGCAGGGGAGTATCAATCAGTAGTTACTCGGTCCACAAGGTAGTGTGCCTCAGTGGTCCCAATTTGGTACTAGCTCTTGTGGGTGTGTGCACATACACACATGGAAGCCAGAAGAGAATGTTTTGTGTATTTCTCTATTGATCTCCACCTTTAGTATGTATGTATGCATGCATATATATGCTTTATATATATAAATATATATAAACAAAAATTATATTTATATATAATTTTTGTTTATATATTTATATAAAATTACATAAATATAAAATTATATATATATATATATATAATTTTTGTTTAACCAAACCTGATTCTAGCCATTTCGGCTAGGCTGGCTGGCTAGATCTTGGGACTTTCCTGTCTCTGCTCCCCAACACTGGGGTTACAGGCATGGGAGCCATGCTTGGCTTTTACATGAGTGCTGGGAAGGCTTGGGTTTTACATGAGTGCTGGGAATCTGAACTCAAGTCCTCTTTCTTTTGCCACAAGCACTCTAACCTACTGAGATACCTCCCTTCTTTTTTTCTTTTTCTTCCTCTCCTCATCCTCCTCATTATTATTGTTATTCTCGAGACAGGGTTTCTCTGTGTAGCCCTGACTACCCCAGAACTCACTCTGTAGACCAGACTGGCCTCAAACTCACAGAGATCTGCTTGCTTCTGCCTCCTGAGTGCTGGGATTAAAGGTGTGCCCATTGCACCTGGCACTTGTTCATGTTCTCATCTTTTCCAAAGAGCTTTGTTGTGGCTTCTGGTTAAGACCATACTTAATGTTATCTCAGTCCGTTCTCTCTGCCATGACAAATACCATGGACAGTATGGCCTTCAAGCAAGTGACAGAAATGTACTTTTCACACACTCCAGCCACTGTGCTAGGGAGCGTGTGTGTATGTGAGTTCTTTTAGTAAATCTCTGTAGCAATTTAAAAAACGAATATAGTGGAAAAGAGAAGATTACTCCAACCTGAAAAAGGTGAAATTATAAAAACAGTACAAGAGGGCTCAGTGGTTAAGAGCACTTGCTCTTCTTCCGGAGGACCTGGGTTCAATTGCTGGCACCAGATGGCAACTCCCAAGCATCTGTAACTCCAGTTCCAGGGGATCCAATGCCTGCAAGCTGTCTGTACCCTCGAGGTGGGCAGTTAGAGGTCTTATATACCTGTGACTTGGTTTCCCTCAGGGTAGCAGCCTGTATAACCAGAACAATAGCAAAGTTGGGACATTAGCCTTGGCAAAGTTTGCAGGCTTTATTCAGATTTCATCCGTCTTCTATTTTAACTCTTCCTCTCCAAGTCACTACTTCTCTTTATTTTCACCTCTACAACTTCTGTCCAAGGCATCATCCTCTCTTTGGACTACTGCAATATCTTCTAATCCTCCCTCCCCAAATCAGTGTCCCACACCATAGCCCAGGCTAGGTTGGCTATGTAGCCTATCCTGGTCCAGAAATCATGGCACTCTTCTTGCTTCAGCCCCCCAAGGACTGTGATTGCAAATGTAAGCTTCTACCCCTGGCTTTCGCCTTTTTGTTTCAATTACTATTCTCTGGTCTGTCTCCACTGAGCAACAGGAGAGAGCTAAGCACAGCTTAGATCAGATCCTGGTGCATGTAGCCTGTGGCCTATGAATACCATGATAGTTATGATTATAGCCCAACACTAAATCGTAAACTTTGGGGGCATGGTGTTGTACTTCTTTAATCCCAGAATGTGGGAGGCTGAAACAGGCAGATCTCTGTGAGCTCAAGGTCAGCCTAGCCTACATACAGAGGTTCTAGCTAGCCAGAACTCCCTCTAACTAACAAAGCCCTTCCTGAGTGTTGAGCCATACTTGACTTCCGTAGGTCACTGCTATTGGTGGTCTTAAGCTAATTCCTCTGACCTCGAGTCTTCCATTTGCCAGCAAAGAGATGCTTTCTGTCCAACGGCTGGGAAAGAGTCTGGGCTACATAGTCTCCCAAGACCAAGAGCACTGGGCCTGGGTGAGGAAAGCTGTCCCACCATTGCCTAGAGTCCTCTTGGACTGAGCAGGAGTGAGCTGGTGACTCTCTAGTCCATGCTGGTCCTCAGAAAGATCTTAGTCTAGTGTTCTGCCATGGGTGCACATGGGGGGGGGTGTACCTGGCCCCCAACACAAAAGCTACAAGCTCAGGCAGCAGTTGGGTTTTGTGCAAGGAGGCAGGAAGATGCGTGTCTCAGGTCCCTGAAGCTGTGTTGTTTTCCCCTCTTTGCCAGTGAAACTCCCCACATCTCACCATAACCCCTTTGGCCTTCCCAAGGGAAGGACATCTGTACATCAGGGAGACGGCTACAGTGATGGCTGGTACAGTCTGTGTCAGTGGTTAACCCCATTTGGACATAGGGTACAGAGAAGGGCATCAAAAAACATTTAAAATAAACATTTTGAAAAACAATTTGGTGTGTGTATGTGTGTGTGCATTCACACACAAATACAAGTGTGCCATGGAATAAGTGTGGAGCTCAGGATGGCTTTCAGTGCTTGGCTCTCTCTTTCTACCAATGTGTGTTCCGGGGACTGGACTCAAACCATCAGCCTTGGTGACAAGTGGTTTCACCTACTGAGCCATCTCACCAGCCCCAAGACAGGGACATTTGATGCTCTTGGGCAAGAATTCTAGGCCACTTAAGTTTGGGAACTAAGTGGCCAAAGGTAGAGAGAGGTTACAGGCGAGAAAGTGGGTGGGAAGCCCGGGCCATATGGGCAGGAACCTCAGACCTTTCTAAGTGTCCCAGATACTACAGACTTCCCACAGTCTTTACAAGATTTGCTGACTTGGCCAGAGGGACTGACAAGTATCACGGCCAGCTGTGAAAACCTTTAGCATTCCTGTCTTCATTATGATTGCTTAGGGTTGGTTTAGGTTGCAAGGCCTGCCTGATAGCTTTTTTTTCTTATCTTCTTCTGCCCTCCTGGCCCACGGTCCTCTGGTTTCTTAGGTGTATCCACTCCAGGCCTCAGAGTTGGCAACTCTGAGGTAACTTCAGAAAGCAATCCCACCTCCCTAACAGCTGAATGTGGCCACAGAGCTCTCTAGGAGAGTGCCAAGTGTGACAAAGGTGAAATGAGGAATTCCACCCAGGTGCCAGGGTCTCACACTGACTTCTCGCTTGGTGTTTCCTATCTGGCCTCCCAATTCCTTCCAGAAGAAAAAAAACATGTTAACTCCACCCCTCACTTCTCTAAGGGTGAGGCCTTCCAAACTTGCCTGGTGTTTGTTTGAATCATTCCTTCCCTGCAAAGGTTTTCCTAGACTTCTCTGGTGTGATACGTTGTAAGGAAACGTATCACACTAAGGAAATGCTGAGCAGAGAGCCTGGGTCTTGAGAGTGTCCCTTCCCCAGACAGCTGCACCTGCAAAAGGACTGTCAGCCGCATGGTGTGTGATGGGTGACTTCTTCTGCCTTCTTCAGGCCTGGTCAGAAGGGCGGCCAATGCAAGGGCAGGAAGATTGGGGAGCGAGTGGTACTAACTTAGATAGGGATGTTTAAAAAAAATGTTCAGAGAATTATTGTATCCATGCTAAATACCAAAAGATTCAGCCTCCTCCCCCACATTGCCTGTCAAAGTGGGGTTGTGCTGTCTCAGTAGTTCATTGCAAATGGAACCCGAACAGTTACCACTCTGCAGTTCTCAGAGGGGTGTGTGTGTGTGTGTGTGTGTGTGTGTGTGTGTGTGTGTGTGTGGTGTCACAAACCCAGGAAGAAGGCCTGTTGTGCCTGCTCACGTTTTACTCACTACTTTTTGAGGAGGAATCCAGGGATGGGACCCTATGTTTTCACTCTGGAGGGGAAGCTTATGTAGCTCTTTCTCAGGTGGTTGTTTTTGTATTGAAGGCCTGATGCTTGTGTCCCCCCCCCCGCCCCCATTGTCCCTGCTCCAGGGCCCCAGGGCTCCAGAGCATGCCCTCTCAGCACCCAGGACTTCAGGGTGCATTTCTGTAGAACTAAGGCTGAGAAAAAAAGAGGCGGGGTGCATACTTCAGCACAAAATCCCTGGCACTTCTCGAGCTACATGGCCAGGCTCGCGTGTTGGCGGTGGGTGAACGCTGTTGCCGCATGAGTCAGCAGAGAGAACACACATCAATCTGGGCAAAGATGTCACGTTAGAGTCACTCTCAAGAGAAACCCAGCTATATGGGGCTGCAGAAAGTGGGAGACAGAAGGCAAGAGATAGGAAGGGCCGGGGTACCCCAGAGTCCTGCTGGACCTACTGCACACAGACACACCTTGCCAAACCATCCAGTTTGGGGACCTTGGAAGACTGTAGCAGAGACAGACACGGGGACAGACTCCAGAGACTTGGTTTTATTGTGCAGTTTTCTTTTTCCTCAGTGAGATGCTTTAAGCTGTGGTGGCATTACACACGGTGACAGGACGGGCAGAGCTGCCAGCGGGAAAGAGGGTGTTTGGAAAAGCTGTCTTCCCAAAAGTGTGCACACTGCTTCTCACGCCACCACCTGCCTCTGACACTAGGAATTCCTGAACAAGGCAGGTTGCAAGACTCTGGTTGTTTGGGGGATCTGGGACAGCAAGAGGAGCTGGCACAGAGGGGCAAGGGGAAGAAGAACAAAGAATCTTCCTTAGCAAGTTGAGTCCAGCTGGGTGGCCCTAGGGCTCCCTTCCTTCACTGACTTAGATCCTGTAGTCAGAATTCTGCCTCCTTGGGAGCAGAGAAAGGGCTTCTTTCTCTGCCACCCTTTTCATTACAGGCAGTGGCACTGGAGACCGCAGGCTCTTGTTTTAGAGGAGGGATGATGGCCCCCTACCTCCTATCCTTTCCCCCAATATTTCCTGGCTCAATATTCCCTCCATCTTTCCTGAGTGTACCTTGGCTCAAGAGCCCCAGGGGATTTCTTCAGCGATAGGAAGGGGCTTGTATGTGGTGGCTGAGAATGATCTTGTAGAAGCTACGTTCTCATCCTCATTAGATGGGCCACAAAGGCACAGCAGCACCCTGATATCTTCAGGCATCCCCTCCCTGCCCACTGGGCGCATCAGGCACAAACACACTCCATCACCCTCATCCATACCTCTTTCAGGCATCTGGCTTGGTTGGCAAGGAGGAACTCCCCCCTCAGAGACTGATATCCTGCCACCCTGCAGCCCATCATATGCCCTTATGCTCCGTCAGGTCCCCAGTCCTGGCCTCCCTTGTCCCAAACTCTCAGAGGAAGGAAAGGATAAGCTCTAAATAAACAGACAGAAGCAACCCTGGAATAAAGAGTACAAAATGACAGCCAGTGGTGTGGAGAGAGCGGAGTGGCAGAGGTGGGTGGCAATGGCATGCAGCACTGGGGTTCCTTATGAGGGACAGGGTCCCCGTTTCTCCCCATTTTTGAGATATTTGAGGGACTAGGGGAGGGAGTCAGCTGACACAGAGAAACAGGACCTCTTTACTGGGCCTGGAGGTTTCCTGTTTCTTCATGGGCCCAGCCAGTCACAGAGAAATGAAATCCATGGCTTGGAGGAGGGAGAGCGAAAGCAGGAGCAGCAGCAGCCATGAGGTGTTCTGAACCAGCAGGCTTATGCCACCACACTTCACCAGCTTGTCTGTGGAGAGAGAAGGGGCGGTCAGGACCCAGGTGGGCGGAGGCAACACCAGGTGTTAGTCCTTTAACAAGCCAGCGCCTTGATGTCTTAACAGAACCACTATACTGCCTGTCCCACTTTCAGTTTCTTCAGCTCTTTCTACTTCAAGGCTCTGCCGATCTGGCCCCTGATCTTCCCCCTACTCACAACACAGATGGCAGTGGTTCCCCAGGGGACCAGGTAGAAGTTAGGGGAACATAAGAAGGCTCTAGGGCTCCTCTCCCCTCTGACCTGGCTGCCCACGGTTTTTGTAAGCAGATTGGCTAACCCCAGCCTGGCTAACCTGGCCATTTCATCTTTCTGGGGACCAGTCTCACCTCTGAGCACAGAGATGTTTTGAAAGGAGACCGTGGGAGGCTGGGTAGAGGCTCGCAGCTCACACGTGTAGATGCCCTCGTCCTTGTTGGTAAAGTTGGCCAAGGTGAGGACCTTGATGTTGGGCTTGCTGGAGAGGCTCACCCGAGAGCGGTACGTGTGCTCAGGTACCCCGAGGGTGCCCGAGAGCACGTACTTCTTTTTCTCTCGGGTCAGGCTGAACTCGTGCTGGATGGGCAAGTTGGTGTTATTCTCGTGACGGCAGTCCAGGCGAAGGTTCTGGTCCACCAGGCAGGCTGTCAGGCCGGTCACCTTCTGCCCTCGGGACATCTGCAAGACTGGCACAGCAGTGCCTTCTCTGAATTGGGGGAGATAAAGAGCGGGGGCCTCCCACCTGCAGGAAGAGTGGACTTGGCCTGGCTGGGGAGGATGTGTGGTTTGCACTCACCCCTCGGGTATTGGTGGAATGTCCCACCCCCCACCCCCAGACTCCAACTTCCATCTCTAATCTGCTGGAGCTCTGGACCCCATCAATGTTTTTCAATACAGGACGTCAAGAGGAGGGTTTTTGTTTTGTTTTGTGAGTCAGGGTTTCTCTGTCTGAGGAACACCTCTGGCTGTCCTAGAACTTGCTGTGTATACCAGGCTAGCCTCTGACTCAGAGACCTACTTGCCTCTGCCTCCTGAGTGCTAGGATGAAAGGCATGCATCACCACCGCCCAGCAATAAGAGTTCTTAGTCCCGTATGGAATTTCCAATATGACAAAGATCACCACCAGCAGCAGGTGATCGGTAAGACTGAGTCCTCTGCTACCTGTGCCTCTGAGACTATGGCAAAGAGGCTACTTCCCTGAGTGGAAGGAAGCCAGATGCCCTGGAATGTCAGCCCTGACCCTTGCCCAGTACCTGAAAGCAGGAGAGCGATGCCGATGGCTGGGTTCATGGTGCCGAGAGTTCTGTCCTGGATTCTGGGGTGGGAAAAGCCGGGTGTCAGCCAAGAGATGGGACAAATGGGTTCACGCTTAATGTCAGGGCTTGAGGTCCATGGAGAAGATGATGGACACCTAAGCCGCTCTTTTCACCCCCTTCTCTTTGAAGGTGACACTGCCTAGGGCCCTTTGCCACTCAGGGAAAGCAAAGGAGGAAAGAGCTCACTTCCTGTGATGGTGTGTGTCTGCATTGTCCCTGCATACTTCCCTGTTGGGTGACCTCATCCCTTCTCTGGGATGTAAGACCTACAGGGAAAGGATTGCCTACATTTAATATTTTGATTTGCAGGGTGGTGGTGGCACTGAGCTACAGAGTTAGTGCCAAGACAACCGGGGCTACACAGAGAGAACTTGTCTTGAAAAACAAATACAAGCCGGGCGTGGTGGCACGCCTTTAATGTCAGCACATGGGAGGCAGAGGCAGACGTATTTCTGTGAGGAGGTCAGCCTGGTCTACAAAGACAGGCTAGGACAGCCAAGGCTACACAGAGAAACCTTGTCTAAAAACAAAACCGAAACAAAACAAATAATAAATAAATAGACATTTTTTTTTTTAATTTGGTAAGCTACACATAACTTTTCTTGTCTTAGTCAGTCTGCCTGTGTGCTTCAGGAGCATTTAGGGTTGGTCATGTTGCTGTGCAGCCAGTCTCCAGAACTCAGTCTTTCCAAATGAAAACTTTCATACCCACTAAACAAACAAACAAACAAACAAACAAACCCTCCCTCAGACACTAGATCTTGTTCAGAAGATGATCCTTAATGTTGATGATGATCCAGGTCAGACTTAGCATAGAGTAGATACTCACATACTTGCTTATGTATTGATAGGGTCTCACTATGTAGCTTGGGCAGGCCTCAAACTCACCAAACTGCCCCAGCCTCCTGAGTCCTGGGGTTATAGGTATACACCTCCACCTGTCCTGTTATTATTTTATTGAGATAGTATCTCCCAATGTAGCTCAGGATGCCCTCGAACTCTGTCCTGCCTCAGCTCCCTGGGAGGTGGACAAAGATATTTTATTGAATAAATAGGATTGTGATTGGTTTTTTTTTTTTTTTTTTTTAAACAACAACCAATAAGCATCTGACACTATACACTATGTCCCGCAGTAAGTGGCTCAGAAAGCTTAATGGCCAGGGATGAATTCAGGCACGTATGTGTCTCATCGAGGCGCCACACAGGCCTGTATAGGACACAGGATGTGAATGAGAAGCCACTGCGCACTCATGGCATGTAAGGTAGAGATGTTTGCAAATGGCCAGCTCTTGAGGGGTCCTGAGGCTGCAGTTTCCTGCCTTCCCTGCAGCACCCCAGCTCAACACGCTGGCAGGTAGTCTCCCCTGCCCTTGCTCGAGAGGCCTTTGTGCGGGGAGTGCCCCCCTCTCCTTCTCGCAATCCAAGGTCTGTGGGGGAAAGAGACCAGGGTCCACAGGGTGGGCTGTGACAGTGAATGCCATCTCAGCCTGGGGAGAAGTTGCGGCCTGGAGGCCGGATCCCAAGGCACTGTGGTGGAGAAAGGGGACTATTTATTTTAGAGACAGGGTCTCCTTAAGAAGCCTTGGTGGACTTGGAACTCGCATTGTAGCCCAAGTTAATCTCGAACTCGGAGATCCTTCTGCTTCCACTTGGCATAGGGCTTGGGTCTGAGAACGCTGGGTTATGGAGCGCGGGATTGGGATCGGGGCGGTGGGGGGAGGGCGATGGGGGAGGGATAGGGTACCCTAGGGGAAAGAAATGGGGCTGGGGCTGGAGAAGCCTGACAGAACTAGATGGAAGGGCGGAGGGGCCTGGCAGAGCAGCTGCCCAGAATTTCGAAGCCTACACTCAGCCAAACTGGGCGCCCTCTCCCCGAGGCCGGGCCGGCCTGACCCCACCCTGAAGCCATTTCCGTATTTCAATCCTCCTCTACCAAAGGAGGCCCCCCTTCCCCCCTCTCGCATCCTATCTAGCTCTCCCCACCCCCGCGTCTGCCACTCAGCACTGCGGTTTCCTTACCTGCGGTGCCCCGCACCCAGCCAGCCGCGAGGCGAGGTCAGCCGGCGGAGACTCCCTCCAGTTTGCCACCCACCTCCTCAGTCTACGCGCGCCACCCCCCTACTCTAGCGATCTGAGTTTGGGTGTGGGGCCTGGCTACGGTGGAACCGGGAGGAGCTGGTCCAGAGCAGCAGTGAGGTCGAGCGGTTTCAACCCTGGAAGTCTGGTCTGGAGGGGGGGGGGGAGGGACCACTCCCTTCCCTGCCCCGGGCCTGCAAGTCCCGGCCCCCACCTCTGTCATGCAGGTTACAGGTTAAACTTCCACGCTTCTTATAGGGACGCGTGCAGCAAGCATCTGGAATTTCTTCTCTTCAGGAAAACGAGGCTAATATTAGCAGGCCAGGGGTGTACACTCATCCCGAGAGCCTCTGCCTACTCCTCAAAGGTTTAAACAGCCTTTGTTCACCCTCCCCCAATTAAACGAGCTGCTCCAAGAAGCCTGCCTCCCCGCAAGTCTGGTTCTCCCCTCCATCACCCCCGGCGTCCCATCTCTCCTTTCCTCTCAGGCCACCGATCTGACCGCAGGTGATCATGCCATCAAGGGGTGGGTGTGGGGGGGGACGGAGCGAGAGATACACTTCGGGGGCCCTGGGTGGAAGGCAGAACCAAAGACTGTCCTCCGTGTCCTTCCTCGGTCTCGGAAGGCGTCCGCCAGCAGGCAAAAGCTAGCAACCCTGCACAGCTCCACTCCCGCCCCGGCCTGGGATGCAGGTCCCTCCCGCAGTTCCCTTGCGCTCACAGAGAAGCGCTCGGGTATCCTTTTCCAAAGCTGCAGCTGGGGAAGGCTTGAACCCTCGCCCTGCGGCTGTCCCTGCGGGTGTGGGTTCCTCCCAGCTCCTGCTCTCACCTGGACTCGCGTTGCTGCAGCCTCCTTCGGATGCACCACCGCCTCCAGTTGCTGCACCCAGCGCGAAGCCCGCAGTTTTCACCAGGGGTGGGGGAGAGAGGGGGAAGCAGGGAGGGCCTCGGGGTTCAGCCAATCAGAGGCTGAGGAAAAAAAAGGATGGGGGGGGGGGGGGGGGGGGGCGGGCGAAGACTGGTAGGAGGTGTCGGGTTTGGGTGTCCGAAGGTGGCTTGCTGCTACTGAAGAGGCGCCCTCGGCCCTAACGGTTGGGCAGACCTGCCCGGGGTAAAGAAGGTTTGCGATCTTGGGGATCAGGGTGGGGCATCCTCCTTCTCACAGTCGGAAACGCTTGCACTCCTTTTAAGGCTGTAACCCTTTCTTTGCTAGAAGCCGTGCATGGCGGGGGGGGGGGGGGGGGCTCCAGCTTCCCCATTTTTCTCCTTCTAGGATGGAGCCCTGTTCTTGAGCCTCCAGTGTCAGGTTTTGGCTTTGGAGCCTGGTCTTTCAGCAAAGAAAGTTGGTTAGTCATTTTCCATGCTAGAGCAGTCCTTTGGAAGCAAAGCAAGGGATGCACTTCCCTGGCTCCTCTCTGCTTTCCAGGCCTGCCCACCTCCAAGTACTCAGAACACTTAGCTTGCAGGGAACTGTGCTTTCTGCTCCCGATCTTTCTGTCTCTCTCTTCGAGACTGAGATGGGGTTTCTCTGTGTAACCTCTGTAGACAGGCTGGCCTTGAACTCACAGAGATCCACTTGCCGCTGCTGAGATTAAAAACATGGGCCACCACAACCTGGCAAACTTGCACTTCCTGGCCCAGCCACCTAGAATGGTCTCATGGTCCCAATTGGTCTTCAGACAAGGCAAGGGGCTCATTATGTCCACGGTCACATTATATTCCTCACTCCCATGCCGACAGACTCCTCCTATCCACTCCTGTTACTTCATGGCTGGTAAGTAGCCAGGCCGACCAGTTGTAGGACTCTGGAGCTCAAGCCCACAGTGCTGAGCCACCCTTCAGCGAGTGGAAGAGGAAAGAGAGAACTCTCAGAATGGGGCTGTCTGACTAACTGGAAAGGCTGAGACCCAGTTTCTGATCCTCAGGGGTGCCCCTTCCATACCATCAACTTGACATCAACCAAGAGGCTCTTTCTAAAACCAAGTGTTAATGGTTTATTTGTTTATATATTATTCTTTTTCATGAAACTTGAAATTTGTGTGTGTTCCGGTTGAGTGTACATATCTGGAGTCCAGAAGACAGGCTTCCACAGTTGGTTGCCTCCTACTCTGCAGTCCATGGGGAATGAACTCAGGCTGTCAGGCTTGTCGGCAAGCATCTTCACCCACCAAGCCATCCTGTTGGTCCCTATATTTGTTTTTTAAAAGGCTAGTTTGATTCCTGGTCTTGTGACCTGGCTCTGCCTCTCAGCCATCTGCCTGCTCACTCTCCTATTTCTTCATAGAAGTTGGCTCTGGCACTGTCACTGCAGTTTTCAATATAGTAATGGCACTGTTGGAAGCCGTCCCTGGATTTCCAGATGCAATTTCAGTTCTCTCCCTTGGAGGACTGGGTCCTTCCCTGTGCCTGAGATGATGAGGCATTCTAACAGGAGTGGGGGGCGATTTCTCTGGTAGGCCACTGAACTCTTGGAGTCTGTATGTAAAGCTCCCCAGGGCTTGAGGGCTAAGGAACAGGGACCCTGAAGACCGCCCCTTCATGGAATGGACCCACCCAGCTTTTAGGAGAATTTCTGAGTATCCTGGTACCCTGGTCTCAGCTACTCACCCCCATTTGCCATTCTTTTTCATTCATTTAGCTTCCTTCCCTTTTCATTCCACACATGCTGTGTTCTCCTGTCCCTGGATTCCTGTGTGTTCCTTCTGGCTTAGTGGCTTTTGAGTAAGGTTCAGGGATCTTTCCTATCAGAGTTACAATTGCTTTAGTTTGGGGACTGTCTTCTCCCAGAGCTTGGGGCTGGAGCTTTATTTTGAGGGCAGGACACGGGATATTCAGAGGGCTGTTGGCTGCAGGTGTCATGACTCAGGCTGGCTGAGGCCCTGGATGCTACTCTGCAGGCCCACCCAAGGCTTAGCTGTACTATTTTGCGAAGGTTTCCAGGCGCTGGCCTACTTTCTGGGTCCCTAGGCACTCTGCTTTCAGGAAGGGGAGGGGAGCATGGCCTGTTGAGAGCTTGCAACTCTATGTCTGCTGGAGCAACCTCTCCAGTTGGATGGAATCAAAGGTTCAAAGAAGACAGTCCAGGATCTCAGAAGGGATAATGGATGGGGAAGCAGAAAAGACCGAAAAACTCTCATTACTACTAAACAAGTCAGAAGCTGGAAGGTGGAAAGGAATTGAGTCAAGGTAAGATGGCTTCTTGTTGGCCATCTGGACCCCTCTCCTTTCTTTGTCTCCTGCAGTTACAGCTTGAGACACATGGGTAACAAACTCCTCAAGATCAAAACAATAACAAAATACTTTTCTTTAGAACAGCCGATGGGCAGTCACCCTTTATAGTCATATAAATGTAATCATGTAGGATGATTTTTCTCTTAGGGTTTTATTGCTGTGATGAGACACCATGACCAAAACAACTCTTATAAAGGAAAATCTTTAATTGGGGATGGCTTATAGTTCAGAGGTTTAGTCCATTATCATCATGGCGGGAAACATGGTGGCACAAAGGCAGACATGGTACTGGAGAGGTAGCTGAGAGTTCTACATCTGGATCCATTGGCAACAGGAAGAGAGAGTGAGCTACTGGGCCTGCCTTGAGCTTCTGAAACCTCAAATCCCACCCTCAAGTGACATACTTCTAACAAGGCCACACCTACTTCAGCAAGGTCATACCTCCAATAATGCCACTCTTTATGAGCCTATGGGGCCATTTTCATTCAGAGCCCCACATTTTATATATGTTATCAGAGTGTTGGCAGAGTCATCCAGCCTCTTTCTTCCTCCTGAAGAGGTCAGCGCAGGAGATATGCACTGCGTCTTCAAAGATGCTCATGGGTGGTAGATTGTCCCATTAGTAGCCTCCAATGTGTCAAGCCTCCATCTATGCCATTTCTGGGTGTGGCCCTGTGACAAGCTTTGTCCAATTGGCTATTAGTGTGTGTGTGTGGGTATGAAGCAAACAGATATCTACTGCTTTTGTGTTGGCAGTTGCTTTCTTGGAAATTTGTTCTTGTGTGAACTAAACATATGGAGAGCTGACCATGAATCACTCTTAGGATTGTATAGCTCAGACAGCTTCTAGGTGACATGCTTTTTGTGTATGTATGACCACAGATGAATACATAATTGCAAGTGATTCAGTATACGGAGGCTGGGGGTATAGCCCAGAAGGTGGAATGTTTGCCCAGCATGGAGTTAGTACCCACCCTCCCAAAACGAGGTACGGTGCTAGATGTCTGCAATCCAAGAACCCAGGAATTGGAGGCAGGAGGACCAAGAGTTCAAGGCCATGTTTGCCTATATAGAGAGCTTGAGCTGGCCTGGAATACATGAGATCTTGCCTAAAAAAAAAAAAAAAAAAAAGGAATAAATAAATGAATAAATAATATCTCTCAAAATAACAAACTACCCCAGATTGGCCCATGCTGATTCTAAAATCTAAATTCGAATTCTTGTCTATTTATTCATTAAGAAATGAAGTCTGGAGCTGGGCGAGGTGATACATGCCTGTAATCCCAGCACTCAGGGAGGCAGAGGCTCGTGAATCTCTGTGAGTTCAAGGCTAACCTGCTCTACAAAGCAAGTCCAGGACAGCCAAGACTACACAGAGAAACTCTGTATGTCTTGAAAAAAAACAAAAACAATAAAACAAAGGAAGGAAGGAAGGAAGGAAGGAAGGAAGAAAGAAAGAAAGAAAGAAAGAAAGAAAGAAAGAAAGAAAGAAAGAAAAAAGAAAAAAGAAAAGTAGTAATGAAGTCTGGGGGTGGGGGTAGAGAGATGGTTTAGCAGTTAAGACCACTTGCTGCTCTTCCAGAGAACTCAGGGTTCAATTTTCAGCACGCTCATGGCAGCTCACACCTGTCTGTAACTCCAGTTTCAAGGCTTCTGACACCCTCACACAGACATACATGCAGGCACTAATGAACATAAAATAAATTATATATTAAAAAAAAAAAAGAAATGAATTCTGGACATAGCGAGGCCCTGTTTACAGAGAGAGGGAGAGAAAGAGAGATGGGTAGGAGGGAGGACATCTCTCTGCCCTAAGCTTTCTCTATAGCCGAGGATGACTTTGAAATTCTGACTATCTTGTCTGTGCCTCCCGAGTGCTGAGCATGCAGTGTGCAGCATCACGGCCCTGTGTCCTCCTGGGCTCTTCATGGGCTTCTGATGACCTCAACCAACAGGTTCTGCAGCAGTGATGCTAGGAGATTTCTACACATGAATATTAGGAAGCCATGTGTGTGAGGGTTTCACTGCTATGAAGAGACACCATGACCAACTTTTAACCGGGACAATTAATTCAAAAGAGACAACATAACCAACATATAAAGGGCAACATTTAGTTGGGGGCTGGCTGACAGCTTCAGAGGTTTAGTTCATTATTGTCCTAGTGGGAAGCATGGCAACATCCAGGCAGACCTGGTGCTGGAGAAGGAGCTGAGACGTCTACATCTTGATCCAGAGGCCGCCAGGAAGAGACTGGTTTCCACAGGCATTCAGGAGGAGGCTCTCACTCTACAGAGGCAGAACATGAGCATAGGAAACCTCAAAGCCCACCCCCGTGCTGACACTCTCTCTCCAACAAGGCCACATCTGATTGTGTCATTCCCTGTGGACCCAGCATTCAAACTCGAGTCTACTGGTGTGTGTGTGTGTGTGTGTGTGTGTGTGTGTGTGTGCGCGCGCGCGCGCACTCTCGCATGCACATGCAAACAAACTCAAGCCATCACGCCATGTCTGCTTTCCCTGGTTTGCTGTAACATTTCTCCTGGTGCCCAAATGGAAAAGGTCTGCCTGTTCTGTTGCTACCCTGAAGGGTCCTAAGCTTCCTTACTAAGGAAATTGCATGGTGCCTGTGCTATGTAGCAGTTGCAGAGTTGGTAAGAGCACTGGGCGTGATGACTTGGAGGACGG